AAAGTAACATTTAAATGGGATGCTCAAGACTATAAAAGAGAAAATTAAATAAAACTATTTTTTTACATAGTGGTCTACAAAATGAAACATTCTCTAAGTGTAGCCATTATTGTTTTCAATTGGTATTATACTTGAGTAAAAACTGAAACCCTGCATCAGACCTATAATAAAAGTAGTATAATGTGCAGAGTTATTTAAAAAGTGATCCAGTTACTGTGCCTGTAAAGGTAGGTGTTGTGAAAATAATACAATATCACTGCACATTGTGCCATCTGAGAGACCCAAAGCCCTCACATAAGTCTTTATCTTTCATTTGTCCTTCCAAGCTCGGTGCTGCCATGTATCTGTAAAAATAACAGAAGAAATGAGTACTGTAAAAAATGAGTTTATGCAAAAAGGTTTATTTGCAATTACTGTTTGGGGGATGGAACTTGACTGGTTCCAAGGGTTCTTTACAGGAATCTTCCATAATATTATATTCAGCTTTGTCATTCAACAAATGCAGGCAGTTACTTGTAATAAAAACAATAAACCTTAGAAACAACGTAGTTCTAGGATGAAAATTTAGGAGTAGCTTCTGTTGAGTTCTTTGTGATCTTAGGGAAGTTGCTTTTGGCCTCAGTTTATGCACCTGTGAAATGGGTTTTTACTGTTAAACTCCCTAGGATGGGGATTTATTCCTGCTTGTGAAGTGGTTTGATAGTCTCTGCCATATAATACATGCCAGGTAGCTGACTAGAAAGTGGAATAAAGATACTTAGTACAGATTTCAGTAAAATTTACAACTTAAGAAATTATCTTCCTATGCTGAAAATATTTCCTTCCTCTCTCCCTCCTGGACAACTGTATACAACACAAAAAATGTTTGTGTCTTATTATTCTGTCAGGCATTATTGAACCATAAAAAAAATGATCTTGTCATCTCAAACTTCTTAGCAGATTATGAAAGAAAAATGACTAAAACTTGTTCAGACTGTCAAGTTCCTGACAAACTGAAACTAATGAATCACCCTGGCACTGGTAAATAGCCAAAACTAGATTACATGAAACTCRTAAATAGTGTAAGGGACCATGTTGMCAAATACATATATTTATACCCCTGAAAGTAGTWATTGTTTTATTTCCATGAAGTTTTTAATTAAATTCTATCCAGCAGAGTAGTATGCCACTCCTGTTTTTGTTTCAATTCTTATTTGAACAACATAGATATRAATTGAAGCCTTAGAAGTGTGAATCATGCCTGMTACTTATTGATTTTGATATACATGCTGGGCAGAGTGAGCTTGGTATCTGAGAAATAACTGACACAGAAGTGGGATGATGCTATTGTGGGGATTGAGTTATAAAGAATTAGAAGAAATTGTTTAGTTCCAGTGTGTGCTTTGGCCCAAAGGGGTCCCAGGTTATACAATTCATGTACTTCAATGTCAACTTTCTTCTCTATTACCACTTTTTATTTTTATTTATTTTTTTTAAACTGGGAATGAGCAGCTAGGTAGACTTAGTCTCCTTAACAAAAGGTAAACTCCTTCACTCTTCTGGTATAGCATCCTTTATTSATAAAAATGGCAATTTCGTTCTTGCCACTGTCATCTAGGCTAGTCAGGTACTATAGTGAATAAAATAAAATGTAAGAAAAGCTAATATGCCATGCAAGTTGCCCAGCTAAGAAACTCTTTAACATATGCCTTACTGTGTACTTCTCACTGTGTATGTGAAAAATGGGAAACATTTAAAAGATGTTTGTAACTGAATATACACTTCCTATGTAAATGTTGTCAATATCAAAATGCCTGCATTAAATTAGCTAAAAAAAAAAAAGATTGATTGGGATTTATACAGAGGATATTTACATGTTAGAGAAGTATTTCTTTTGTTAAGAGACTATTTGCATTCATGAGAACTGAAAATTAAGAAGGAATAAGATTTGTTTCTCGGCAGACTTACTAATTAGTGTTGGTTTAGCTCTCCCAAATGGTAGGATGTGTGAATATTTAAAATGTTGATGCAGACAAATTTTGAGACAAATTACAATTTAGTATTCATCCCTGTATATGCCTTCAAACTTCTCTGACATATCCTAATGTCATGCAGAATTCCTGAAGTCTCAAATACTAAATTTTAAGTGTGAACAGAGGACCGATAACAAAATCCATTTATCTGCAGTAAAGGAGATTTTGCAAGAAGCACTTAATGACATATAGCACCTGGTTTTGCTTGTTTTGTTGTTGKTTTTTGTTTGTTTTTTGTTAGTGAGCAGGTAAAGAACAGAGAGACTTAAGAGAATCAAATTACTTTTAGAAGTGCCCTATAGAATACTTGTGGCCACTGAGACTACRTCCTTACTTGGTGCTTAAGATGGCTAAAATTGTGAAAAGTCTGTGCTTTGGTGTTTTTCAATATTTTTACAGTGGAATTTATAGAGCCACTGAAGTGCCAATTTGCAGCAGTCTTTCCCGCAGAGAATGCCTTTTGTTGGTTCTCATGCCTTCAACAAAAATTGCAGGGAACTGAATGCTTAACACAAACGTCCTTTGTCCAAGTTGATAAGTAAACATTGTGTTTGCATATGGCTGGGTTTTTTTCTTCCAAAACAATTTTAACAGATGCCTTAATTCCTTTCTGCTGTAAAAATTCGTTTCTCTCATTTGAATGTTCTTGTTAGTGCAGATTCTTTCTGGSTAAGCAACACACAGGGAAAAATCTTTGCTGTTTCCCTTTTCAAGCAGTGTTTTCTTACATAAAAAAAAACAAAAGAAGGCCACAATTTTTCTTTTATCTGGTAGTACGGTGCATTTAAAGAAAAGAAATATAAAAATCAGGTGGCATTCTAGTGAAGGCCAAGAAATCTGCCTACACAATCTGAATTCTTCTCAGGGCAAGGACTATTTAGAAAACTGCCTGTGAGCAGCACATAAAGTTGATTGCAATGTTTTCAGGTTCAGAACAGATCTGCACAAAATAAAGGAAGTAAAAAGTGATATTCAATAAACCASGAAGATAGGCTAGGTGGAAATCAGGTAGTAGCATCATACAGGGCAGCAATCTCGCTTCCTGCTGTGGGTGTTTTGATTGAAACACACTCATGTAGTGGARTGAGACACTAAATTCCCCTTTAAATATTTGCAATATTTTAATTCTGATTTGCAATAAATAATATGACTAATCCACGCTCTCTCTYATTGCTTTATGATTATCACTTGCACTGCACATCTTGGCTGCTCTTAGCACTTACAAGGCTCTGATATATAGCTAAATGTTTCTGACTCCATCTGCTACAAAGAGAAGTGACACAGGAGTGCTCCCCAGCCATTTTATTGCAATTTAATGTAAATCTGTTATAATGCAGATGATGAAAAGTGCAGCGGCTTCCATGAATTCTGAAAGCTGCGATTGGGTTGTGGCTGCTGCGCTGCCCTCTGAAGATTTGCTGGGTTTAATTTTACATTGCACAGCCATTAGCTGRCTGGGGTTCCTCACTGAATCACGCTGCCACAATACTTCTTCATCCTCCTCTTCCTTTTTCTCCTCACAGTGACCTCGCTCAACCCAAGTTTTCCATCCCAGTCTCTCGTTGCTTTTATCTTACAAATTGTATTCTCCCAATACATCAGGAACACAGAGCCGTGCAGTAGAGCCGTGCAGTTGACCCCTGCAATGGACTATTTTGTTAACTCCTGAGTGTGGGAATATGGTAACGTCCCTGTGAATTTACCATGGCTGTTGTGCAAAGAATGGATTCATCTTATCAGGTTGTAATTTACCATTGCATCACCTCTGATCTTGCTGCCATCACGTAAAATAAGTGGTGCTAAATGCGTGCTGAGCTGGGTGTTGGTGGTGTTTGTAGGTGGGAATTGGGGCGATCAGGTTCTGTCATCCAGCATTAAGTGTTATTACACACTTAGGTATAGRCCCTTAGGCAAATGACTTTTTTCCTCTGTACTTTCTGTAAATGTTACTGTTTAGGGTGATAGAATTACATTCAGTGGAGTAATTAAACTGTGGCAAATTAGGTAAACCTAGAATGTAATTAAGGTACAGTAGAAACACCTGTAAATGATAATTGTTTCGTTCCCTCAGGGAAAATGTGAAAATAATCTTTTAGATGGAGTATCGTATCTAGAATCTTTACTCATGCCAACCAGCATGTTTTGTCCTTAAGTAATTTATCTAGAAGTAATTGATTGCGGTATTTAAAAAAAATAGCTAAAAATAAGGAGAACATCCTATTTCTTACAAGTTTTTTTGCCTGCAGGCTGGGGAGTTACTTGGGGGAAAAGTTATGATCTTTCTGTTGTTAAACTCTCCAGTCCAAATGATTGGATGGGTTAGAGGTGGAAGGGAAAGACTAGATACAGGCTTCAAATCARTTCCATTATTGATAATGGGGATCATCTTGTCTAAGATAATAAAGCCTTATTTTGTAAATTCAGGAACCTGGAACRAGGCACAATGTTCTGCTGACTTCACCAACAATTTATCCTAAAGTATTGAAAGTTAGAGTGTGAATTCTGTTCCCTGGAATGATCTGGAATGATGGTAATCTTCCCAATTAACTTTGTGTGGTGTCACTGCTGACGGCATTTTCTTTTTGTGTATTGTCGTGTCTAGAAAACTGATGGTTTTGACAGAAGACTTTGGTGTGGGTGTTTACATAAAATAACTCAAATGCAAATAAAATTTAAAGTTAGATGTTTTTGAAACTTTAAAAGAAAAAGCTTTTTAAAAAGGCTTCTTTTTTTGTGAGCAAAACTGACTCATTTGCAACCAGTTCTAAAAGAAACTCTGAAAACCTCTGAAATGCAAATTTATTTAAATAAAACAATCCAGTCACCTGTCTCCTTGTGCTCCTGCAGCAAGGTGACTACCAGAGGAATAATTTCACATAAAGCTTTCTCAAGTGTTTTTCCTTCATCCTGCAATTGAAGATATGTATTTTTTTATTAAAACTGACTCTTAATTTAAATAATTTATTTCCTTTCTTCTTTTCRTTACAGAGAAAGTCCATTGTTGCTGTGAGTTTCATTGCAGCATTCCTCTGTCTGATCATCGTTCGTCTCACAAATGAAGTAACTTTCCCTTTGATCCTAAACTGCTTTGGACAAACCAGTGTCAAGTGGATCCCATTTTCTAATGGCCAAAGGCAGCCTCTGAGAACTCATTATGGATATATTAATGTAAAAACACAAGAGGTAAGACCTGGTATTAACAGCCCAGCAAAGTGGACTGGTACATTTATTTTTCTCTGTTTCCATCTAATGCTTTTTTTCCAACCTGCCTAGTGCAAAAATGGAACAAGAGTGTTTCTGAGTAAAGTGGCTCTTTTAGAAGTCTGCTACCATTTAAATAACCATTGAATGTTTTAAAATTTCTGTCATGTCTGCATTGGAGAGAGTAGTGAACTGGCCTGAAAATCGCCCTTGATTGATTGAAAACTTATTTATACAAACAAGAAAATTTTTCAGATTAATTTCAATCTTTCAATCCCTCTAACACAAGAGTAAATTTGCTTGTGTGTGTTGTAGTAAGATCCTAAAAATGTTGAATTTTGCCTAGGATTCCCAAAGAAAAAGTAGCTTATCTATGTTTGTACGGGCATGAAAGAGGAAAGGGTAGTGATTTGTGAAAAGAGCATATGTGAGTATAGAAAATGTATATACCTAGAGGTTTCCTGGACTTCTCTGGAAGTATTGCATTAATACTTGGTAGCTATTTCAAAGCCAGGTATGTACTTCCATTCTCTACTTCAAAATGCGTTGATCTGTATCTGCTTTGCAAAATACTTGCTGTGTGATAAAAATACTTGTCTGATGAAATTAGCTTTTAGAGGGACTCCTGCTTTAAAGTAAAATTAGTTGTCAAAGTTTCTRAAGCCACTATCATGTTTTGGTGTCAGCCACTATCATGTCATTTTCTTCAGGCTCTTCCTCTCTCTTTGTAATGTTTGTAACAGTGGGAACTTGCAAAATARGGTAACATAAAAAAAGAACTCTTTCTGTTGTTTGTGATCAGTTATAGTGCTGTCAGTCTTGAGAAGTACCATCAGACTTCCACTAACTGCTGAGGTTTTTTTTTTCTATAAAATTACAATAATTAATGAATGAAATTCATTCACATAACAGCTTTTATAGRGAATGAAAATACTACTTCATTATATTTAGTCCTGTAAGTTAGTTATTATTTAGTGGGCTAAATATGAAAATCAGAATGAGAAAGAGAGACAGTTTTTAGGAGGCAGCTTTTTAAACTTATGTAGCTTTTAATCATTGTGGGATGCAGGACTATTTTGGAGGCCAAAACACATTGTCTACAAAGCAGAAAAAGGACAAGCACCTGAAAGGAAAACTGTTCCAGTGAAAGGAATGGGAGGTGCTTTTTATTTTAGAAGGGCTGAGGCTTCATCCAGCCTCTTCATCCCTGTGTAAGTGAGAGGGCAGCGTGTTCTGGGTTGTTGGCACCGTGGCACTCCTGGAATCTGAATGAGGCGGAGCTGCCACAGTCACTTGATCACTATCAGTCTGAACTGATAACTGRAGAGGAGAGGAGCATGCTAATCTGTTTTTATTCACCATTGCCTTCATCATCAGAGGTTAGAAGTAGTTTGTGAGGRCCTTAATTCATTCTTAAATTTGATAACACGCTTGGAAGTTCTAACAGTAAATGGAAATGAATGTCCTGAAAGCTGGTGACCGGTATGGGTTAGTAAGACATTTGTCTCAATTTAGCTTAGGTCATGAATTAGTAAATTAGTAATTAGAAAATTATTAACTTCAATAGTTTTCCCTCTTGTAGGTGCAGATTGCGTTAATATTTGCTAATTAAAGTGATAATGAAGAACCTAAACATGACTTGCTTATTGTAAATGCGCTTTTRACTTAACTTCCCTCACACAGGGAATAATTTTGTTGTGCTGCTCATGTGAAAAGCTTTTACACAACTCATATCCCTCACTCAGTCATAGCTCTCTCAGAATATGATTTTTAGAACACAGATTGCTTTGTCACGTAAGCATTTGTATACTATTTGTATTAAAACAGCCAGCAATTCTCAATTATTCGCAGAGAATAGAAGCAAAGATCACTCATTATTGTGTCAAATACATTKAATTTCTGCTCATTTTATAAAACTAAGATGATATTTTCTAGTTTTTTTGTGTTTCTATGGTCCATAAGATAGGCAGAAAAGTCCACTCTGTGGGTGGCCAAGTCTTTTGCAAAGCGGAGCACATGAAGTCCCATCAACAGGCAAGGACCAAATGGTGTGAGAGAACAATAGTCAGAAAACAAAGTGAAGGAAGGAAAGATTTAAAGATGTGAATTTTGGCTTTTTCTCTTTTATTGAGGGAATCTTTTTACACCTGTTGAATGTGCTCATACTCTCCTGGAGTATCCTTTGAATCCTGTCCCCCCACTGGTGTCTCCTGCTGTCTGACAGCACTCCCTCCTGTTCCTCAGCCACTTCCAACATCCTTCTTCTTTTCMTCACATTTGTTCTCTGTTCCCCTTTACCTGTTCCTCCCAGGCTGTGCTCTAAGGTCTGGCTGCATGGTGCTTAAATACTTAAATGTACCAGGTCAACAAACCAGAGGAATTAGGGTAATTTGACACCAACCCAGTCAGTAATCTGAGGTGACAGGGAAGCTAGAAAATGTAGAATAAACTACTCTGCCTTTGCTGTCTCTCTATTGCATACTTACCTTCTGAWCAAAAAAATGCACCAAACCAAACCAAAAAAAGTTCCAAATCCAAAAACTTTCCTCCAGAGCAGTAAAAGTTTAAGTTAGGARGAGCTGATTTCTTTTTGGGTAAAGGCTGAGTGAGATGGGACTTGGAAAATCTTAAGAGATGATGGAAAATCAGTTACTTGGTTAAAGTGGTAGCGATCAATCATTTCTATTAAAAAATATCAGGAAATATGATGATATGAATATTGGTGTTTATCTCATGTTAAATAGAGTTATGTGGCTGTTACAAGGTGTGATCAGAATAATGCTGTAAAGACATATTTCAGGGGTGTTGCGTATTTGACTTGACAGTGTAGTGTTGTGGAATTTTTATTATTAAAAAGTCTGAAAAAAAATTAAGATTACTAAAACTGGGTTGTATGGGAATATTTAATACAAAATGCAAAGAGAGACATAACTTAATCTGCAATTAAGGCTGTACATAATACAGGGTGGTTGCTATGGTTTCCTTGATTTGTAGCTATAGCAACAGCTTTGGAAAAGCTGACTTTATGTACAGTAAATATATTATATTTGAAATACAAATAGATGTGAAGTGTTGTATATACTGGGCCATTATGTCTAGACACTTTTTAGTTTCACTTTTGAGATATTTYTGAATATCTTGAGGATTCTTCACCTTGGAAATTGGCATCCAGAGCCCACCCTCATGGCCCTCAGTAGAAGAGGATCTTGCAGTAGCCCTCCACAATGTGATCTCTTTTCCCTTTTCTGTATCCACATCCAAGGTGACTCCTTGAGATTTGTGGGAAACTCTGCCTGTCTGTTTTGCAATATTGCTGTCTTGCTCAATACATGAATTTTGACCTTTCAATGAAAAGGAGGTGCATTAGCAAGATGACCTTTCTGTCCCTTATTTCCTCCACTTTGTGCCTGTGGATTTTTGGTGAGAAGTCCCATGAAATCTGTCTTTAGGAAATGTCACGCCTATCATAYGTTAGTTATTTTTGTCCTGTTCCTGGTGATTTTTTTCTCAGAAAATACTRATTTTATACAACTCCACAGTGGTTACCTAATCGAACCCTACTGTCATTGGAATATACTTCACCATGCCACACTGATGTAATGATTCTTTTTGTATATCAGAAATGGAAAAGCAGATAATAAGAAGCAGGTAGAGAAAATATAACCTTCCTCCTTCTTWCATACCACTCCTACTCGACAAAGAGTTCTGGCAAAATTAATGAACATCATGTATTTAAATTGCAGCATTATGACATCAATTTAAAATCCATTAGCAGTTTGAAACTTTATGCTATGCAAGTCTAATAGTGTTCTTGGATATTTGATTGTGCTTCCTGAAAGGTGAATATTGAATAGATTTTTACTCTACCGTCAGTATTAAAATAATATAGCATTTTCCTACATACGTAAAATCTGAAATATAGCTGCAATAACACTTGAAGCATAATTATAAAAGTATATTCAAGTACTGAACTAAGATTAAAACTSTTCTTGGAAAAGGGTAAGTTCTGAGATGACCTAAAATACCTACATTAAACTGCAACTGTGAGATCTAATGGCTTCCTCTGAAATGAATTCTGAGGGAGCAAAGAGCCTTTGTGTCATGAACATTGAAGAATCTCGYAGTGCAGTGATGAGCACTGCATAAAAAGGAACATGCATTGCAGCACTTAAGACTTTTTAAAAATAATGTCATAACAGAAAAACTCCTCAATACTATATTGATATTGAAGAAATAAATTTGGAKTGTATTATCACATGCCATTTTGCTCCTAACCTGGGCAGACCTGTGTATGAGCATCAGTTGCTCACCACTTGTGGCACACACGGTTACCAACGTGTGTGACTGGGCCCCTAAATCTGCTTCCTTTTCTTTCCATTTTTGCTAGAAGTTCCATGGCAGAACTTGGCTGAAATCAGTGGAGGTTTCCACAAATGAAATATCCCAGGTATGAATATATCCAGGAGAAAGCCACACACCTTACACATATTTGTGTTGTCCTGTTTATTATTTTTGTTAACAGAATAAAGGAAGTGCATTTAAAAATTACCTGAAATGTGGTGGAAAAGTAGCATAACCATGCAGAAATATAGGCTGTGATGTACTTTCTGTAAGATAAGGCACCGACAATTTAAACAACAGCAAAAGCAATAGRTATCAGCATGGTGGAAGTAATCACAGGATGGACCTACACCAATCACGTGGGACCATCTTCTTACAAAGCTTGAAAAACTAAATTAAAAAATAATAAGGAAAGCAAAGAATGTGATGAATGTTTTAATACAAATTTCTTTCCAGATATGAGAMGTAAGAAAAAATTTTCAAAAATACTGAAATTTTTATAAGAAATAATAAAAATATGTAAAGCTAGCAACCCCCCTGGGTAGGTTTGTTTTGCCTCTATTAGTAATTGATGAAAATGACACTTACTATGTGGAGAAACTTGGGGAATAGCTCTGGGTTTCATGTCAGAAGAGAAGGTA